GGGATGATGTTGGACACAATTCGGTATACGCATAGTTCCATCCGGCAACCATATTCCATAATATATGATCTAACACTAATACTTTTGGTAATAGATATATTATTATTATTTATATTATCATTATTGTTATTAATATTGTTACTTTCGCTATTAATATTGCAGTTATCTGGCGAGCCATTGTTATTTTGACTTAATCTGAGTAAACGTTGACGTTTTATTCTATTTGATGAACGACCTAAATTCATTTTTCTTTTCATTGTGATAAATTGCTTTGTAGGTCAGAATATATCTATTGAATAAACAACGACAAAAAAATCAACAAATATCACTGGAATTGAATCAAAATAAGTCAAAAATGATGGAAATACAATCTTAAAATTAAAAGAAACGAAAAAAATGTAAAAATTAAACTCTACTACTTATTATTAGTACTATTTAAATGCAGGCATCATGAATATTCGACAATACATCGATGCACAAACATTGGGTAGCGTTCCGACTTTTACGCGGCTTCAGTTAAAAATTTAAAATGTCGGTCGATCCGTCCTAGGTAGCCGTGGAATGCATTCACCGCGCACAACGCCCATTGTCGTCGGTGGCGACTGACGACGTCGTTGTTTTTGTTGCTTTACGAGTGGGGGAAACCCGAGCATCATGTTCATAACCGACGGTCGGAGACGTTACGTTGGGTGGTCAGGGAGGATCACATTGTAGTGATTGTGGAAATGTGAAAACCCAGAGTGATTGCCATGTTGCCAAATCTACGTAAGAGGCCATTATTTATAATAATTGATAACTCCTTTGTTTATTATGTTAGATAATCGATCAAATACCATAAATCTTCTACACACCAAGATCTTCAATTTAAAAAAATAATCATAACGATCGGTTCAGTAGTTTCCGAGAACATAGGCCTCAAAGGTTTTCATTTTCACATTTATATAATAAAGAAGAAAGATTGTGTCACAGTGTTATTTATTGAACTTGCATTCTATAGTTCACGGTCAACTAGGTACCAGACGAACCAAGCTAGGGTAGGGTGCGACGAACTTTGTAATTGTAGGAGAGAAAGCATTTCGTGGAAATCATTAACATTAGGGAAACACGAAATCATGTGGTCATACGACTATAAAAGATCATTGATAGGGGTACACAAGATGTAGGGTTATACATCAATACAAAAGTTCCAAGAACCGATGTTGTAATGTAATATCATCAGAGGCGTCATTTGGGGGGTGGCAGGGTGTGCGGTTGCACCCCTTACTTTTAGAATGTCACAATTGGCCTGCGCCTTGCTGAAGCTTAAGATAATGCACGAGCCACGAATGCACAATTATTTATATGATTAAAATCAAATAGTAATAACCGGTCTATAATTGTATGGAAAAAATTGAATGCAGGATAATATACATATACGTATGTATATCTATTTTTATATGGCCTGGTGAAATTTCAAAATGGCCTGCTTGAAACTTCGCACACCCGAAAAAAAACCTGAAATGATGCCCCTGAATATCATAATATATATTTTTACATAATAATAATATAAATTATCGAGGTCTGCAGCTGCATGAGATGCACATTTGGCTTGTTCGTGGGTGAGTAACATTTCCGTCAGTCTAGATAATTATACCACATCCGTGAGAACAGCGACAAGAGCAAGTAGACTATGGKGAGTAGAGGGTAGYACTATATAAGRGACCCCGAAACGGCCTGYATTCAGACGCGACTTGACCAGACTAGCCAGAGCACCTTCACGCCAGTCTGTTCTTTAATTAATTAAATTGGACTTAGAAAAATTCTCATAAAATAATATTYTGAACTTAGAAAATATTCGAGTCAAACCAAATTTATTCTAGTCATTCAGAATACTTAACTTGTTAAATAAAATTCAGCTTTCATGTTTATAAATAAATATATGTTTTGTCAAAATAAATAACCAATCAGTCTAAGAAGAATTCAACGTTGTTTAAATTAACTCAAGAGTCACCTTCCAACATCATCCTTGACTACTGATACCTGCAGGCGACGTGATCACTACAAACTACTCCGAAACGGCTTGACCAATTTTCATCAAATTTTCTGTGTATATTTGGTAKGTCTGAGAATATGTTTTAGGTTAATTTATAAAGGGAATTGATCACTCTCGGGAGGTGCTCAAACAGKAATTTTGGGATTTACAATAGAAATTTTTGTTTATCTGGTTGTCATGGGTTTTTAAACTATAATAACATTATAGGTTGCCATTGGATAAAAAATAAAAAATTGTTGCTATTGATCATAGGAAAAATAATTAGTTTTTAAAATAAGCTGAGTAGTACTAATAGCCCCATAACTAAGAATTTCCTACCAGGATGGTTGAATTGCACTAACTGCTACGAGTTACATCACAAAAGATTTGAATAATCACATTCTTTGAAAGGATTGTCATATTTTAAGGGCAAAGTGTACGGGGTCAGCTAGATTTAGGATAGAATTTTTTTTTAATAATGATTGCTATGGGTTATAGGATTTGAGAATAATATATATATATATATTTTTTAATTTGAATAGGTATATTATATTTGTTTGTGTCACTAAAAATGCCAGTAAGACACCAGAGTGCCAATTTTTATCACAGAACAATTTCAGATACAAACATGAGAACTATGAGAGGCAAAAAATAGATGAACAAATCCAATCCGATAATATGAAATTTTGTGTGAGTATGGCGCAATTGCGTGAATCTTAATCACAAGTGGCACGAGCTGAACTCAATGAACAACAAAGATTGGAGCAAACACAAGCGCATCGATTCGTAGTAGACACTTTGAAAGTAGAGATTGGTGCTATGGACAATGAATGTTCGCAATGTGATTCGCTTAAATTCAAAAATGAGCCAGCCTGTATGTGTTGAGAGTCAGAAAAAGTGCAACTACTGGCAATTGAAACACCACCTGAACCATTGAACGGTTTATTTAACAGTACAAATCCAGATTCTATGCTGTTTCTGAAGTCAATTCGAATATTCAATTCATGTTTCCAAATTACATTGTTTGGAGCAACAGAAATACAGAAATAGTTAAAAAATAATGCTAAAAATTGTCAACAATTAAATTCAACATTCAAAATCAAAGGCCAAATGTATCACAAAGTGGGCTCATTGTTACCAATGCCAAACGAACCACAACATTTTTTAAAAATGTAGGTACTTTATGAGCAGTGAGGACTCCAAAAGTGCACTCGCTAATCATGGATGCACATTATAGATACAATAACTTTTAATTCATCTTTTGCCAGACGCCATTGTTGGTGAACTGGATGCTTTATTAAATGAGCATAATGAATTGTTGAAATTATTTAATTATACAAATTACACAGTGACAATCACACTATTGMCATCAATCCAGATAATATTTGAAATTTTATAAGATAACAAAAGTATAATGAATTCAAAAAAATGAATATTATTAGTATTTTGTTATTGTTTCCAGTGCTCTATTGACCATTCTTCTTTCAGTCATATATCAGTAAAACACATCACAATTATAATAATTCAGTTATTTTTCATTTGACTACTAATTTATTCGTTAGAAATAATTTATTTGGCAAACTAATGTTTGTGGGTCAGCTATTATATATTACAAAAACTATTCTCATAAAAATGAATATATCTTACTCCTATTTGAGTTAACAGAAATGTTTAACTTGCTAGATATTATGTTATGAAAATATGAATTGAGAATTAAGTGAAAGATCATCAAAATTTATTTTTCTATCATCTTTGGTCTAATTAATAAGGTAAGTTGCTAATTTTTGGATTTTTTGAAGCTTCTATAAATTTTGGAAACAATTCTTTTAAGTATAATGGTCCGCTCAAATTGCTACAGTTAAGAACAGCTGAACACTGTATCGCATTGTATTGTATTGTATCTATTGTATTAATATTTTTATTTTTAAGGTGAAGCAACCATAATTAGTTATGTGTTAAGTATGTGTATGTATTAGCGTTTTTATTGAACATTAATAAACGATGGCAGCAGAGGAGTAGTAGTGTTCATACAGATCCTCCTCTGCTGTCGGTTTAAACGGGGAAAAAAAAGTACAGCTGAACACAAATTACCTTGGTGTCATCGTCTAGACAAAATAATTTTAGAGTGAGAGACCTTTACATCAGATGTAAATAAGAGCAACAAGTTTTTCAAACACTCTTAGATTAAAAGACTTACAACACATTTAAAAAGAAAAAAAAACAATTTAAGAAAATTAACTCTCCTAGTGTGCTTGATTCCTAATTTCTAAATGTAGGTATTTTAATACACATAACACAATAACTGAGTGTCCCATGAGGATTTACCCATTGGTCATCTTTTGAAATAATGGTGATATTGAAATTCTGGTTAGGTAATAAAACTCACAGTGATAAGAACTTTAATTGTTTCATATTTTAATGTTTTGGTAAAAAGTTAAAAAATATATTTTTAYATTWAATTATTTCCAAAAAAATTAAAGATAGCCATTTTGTAGAGTTCTTTTTGTATTTTTCTGAAAATATTGATGTTTCATAATTTTATTTTCATTAATTTCCTGATTTTTAATATTTTTTTTTAGTTTCGAGAAAAATTGCGAATTATTTAACACCATAATGTTAACAAACATATGACCCGCTGCACGGCACATTCTCATACAGCCGGCCGAATACTCTCTGTGTTCCTGATCGTTATAAATTTATAACCATATTTTATTTCATTAAAACTAGAAAAAAATATCAAAAATCAGGAAATTAATGGAAATAAAATTTTGAAACGTCAATATTTTCAAAAAAATAAACACTACAAAATGGCTATCTTTCTTTGGAAATAATTAAATAAAAAAATACCTATATTTTGTAATTTTTTTACAAAAAATTAAAATTAATTTTAAAATGAAATAATTGTACTTCTTATCCCTGTGAATCTTATTATAAAACTAGAATGTTGATATTTCTATTATTTCGTGAGATATCTCAATGGATAAATCCTCGCGGGACACCCTGTATACTATAGTTTCCATATACAATTACGAGTACTAACTTATTCTCCCAAGCCTGTCGTCACGTTTTTGTCCCTACATATTTTGAAGTCACTTCTTTGAAATCTTCTTCTCTATTATATTTTTTAAAATTTTTTCTTCTTTTCTTCTAACTGAATAGTTGATAAATAAGAGTTTGAATTGAATTAATGTTTGGTTTAATCGAAACTATTACTGACTATTTTCAGAGTTGGATTTTGCAAAATTAATTTTGCAAATTAACATTTTAATCTGTACCTAAGTATATTGAACAACAAACGCCAGAGATTTTATTAGTAATTTATGAATACAAATTATTCTGGTAGTCGCACAACCTATTGTCATATTCATTTAAAATAAAAATGTGACCAGTAGAGCACAATATACAACAATAGGTAGTATTGTATAATGGACAATAAATAACCATCTTAATATTACCAATTTTAACTACTTATATATCAGTAACTAACAGACAAGACACAACACTGATATAAGGTGTTCTATACTGATGAAAAATTTAAAACTAAGCATTGTAACTAAACTGCCAATATAATACTAACATCCTTATGACTCCAAGAGTTATATTAAAATATTTAGAAATTATTAAACAACAATTACCTGTAATTACCTTTTTTTTTTTTTAATTGAACTGTATGTCAAAATTAATTTGAACAATCAATACGGATGTGGTTGTCGTTGGTATCTTAACAGGAAAGAACCGACAACCATGTGTCCACGCCACTTCACTTCAGAAGAAAACTTTTAGTTTAGTGCAGCACTATGAGACATAAAAAGTGGAGTACGGAAAACGGTTATAAGTGAACGTGAAAATCACGAATCACGAATAACAAACAAAAACTATTAACCGATGACCAAAAGTCATAGGTGGCAGGTGCCAAGAAATGGAATGGAAATGACGCCTAGTCGATGAACGTTATTACATGTTATAATATGAATATGAAAAATTGAAAAATGAATGAAATTATGCCATCTTCGATAATACCATTTATTAATGATTATAAACTTGAAGTCTATGGAGGTAGACGCTAAGTGGCAGTGTAGCCCCTCGCCCCATGAAACGTGAAGAGTAAACTCGAATAATTCCGCGCTCGAACGATCGCGCGCACCAATCGAGAATCGACGGCAGCAGGCTTTCGCCCTAACACCAGGCACCACGGTAATATATAACCGTGGCCAGTGCACGCACTGTTGATCGGTTCGCTCCGTCGAGACATATTCTCCGGTAAGTTCTCCACATTCGACACTCCACACTTCCACAGTTAGTATTTAGTAGTCCACACTCCACACTCAAGTCTCAAATGTCTCAATCTCAAATACAACTCTATTTACCACTGTACCAACTAAAAGCATGAGGTAAATCAGCAACACCCTGATACGCATATTCGCCATATTATGGCTTTTCTACAAATGGCAAAATCGCAAAATCATACAACACTGATAATAAATAAATGATAGTAACAACGGAGAAAAGCAATATGGCTACCTGCGCAGAAAGTAACACATGAAAAAAGGTGGGGATGCGCAAACGAGATTCAAATTAGTACTGTTGCTGACATACCTCTTTTATTTATCATGCAAAATAGTTCGACAACAACGACCGCAGCGCAACCGGACTTACAGCAGCCGCCTTCAACGCCACCACCAACTACATTACTGGCTTACTGCAACAGTGCAACGGGAGCGAGTGGCCATTAGCCGAGTTCTTGCACCGATCTGAACGTGCGGCCATTTTGATCGCCGTTTTACCAGTGCGTGTGCCTTCCAGCGCGCGACGCATTCCGTCTCCGAGGGTTGCCGCTGACTATCGTCATCGGGCGGTCCCACAACAACGCCGTCTCTCCGTGACTAATGTTTTAGCCCTAGCCCTATCTCGAGTGTGAGCAGCGGGCCTCCAGTGCCCTATTCTCCGCCGCCGCCAAATCTGTCAGTGTCCTGCCAGACCACGGTTAATCAGACACCGTCAAGAATCGTACTCAAGAGGTGAGAGAACCGGCGTCCGTGCTTGCACTGGACTTRTTTTTAAAAACATTTTATGATAMAATATTAAGAGGTAAACGACGACGACGCGATCATACACCGGCAATCGTGTCTGTATACACCGTGCTCGTGGCACGCACGATTCGCCGCCAGTTGTCGTCGTTTTGCGTCTTGCGTGTATGTTTTGTCATTTCGTTATCGTTGTTATTAATTATTATGTCGACTTGTGCTTATGTCGACGGTTGTAATAATTATAATAATAATATGATGTCGAAATATATATCATAATAATTTATTATGAACCTTAATATTAACGATAATAATATGAATAATTTATTTGTGCATTTTATCTTCTTCTTTCTTCAAATAGTTTTCAGCGAAAAAAAAGTATTTTTAAATCGACGACTTTTAAACTTAATTCAAGCCGAGAGTACATTTAGATATACCGGATATCCGTTTTTATTTTTTACTTAAATCAGTTAGTTTGTGTCGTGAAAGTCTTGTCGATCGTGTGTTGCTCTATCTTCCGTATAATTATTCCAAGTATTAAAGTTATGTATTTATCGACAAAAAGTGTGTTCCCGTTATATATTTCGGCACCTCGATATGCTCGCTGCAATGGAAGGTAAGATCTACCAGAAAACAGCGATCTTTGGGCGGGCTGGGCTTTTACAGGATATATGGTCGTTTTACTGTTATAATACCCATAAATTTCATCATTTTATTTGTTTGATTTGAACCTTTTTAAATGTTTTGTTACAAAGAATTCATATGAGTTCAGGATTATATTTTTAGACAAATTTCACCTATTTATGCTTCTTATCCTGAGCTTAATAACATTAAACATTTTAAATATGGGATTTTCTAATGAAAATTATGTATGCTTAGGAGTCTATTTAACGTGCATCAATGGAATCAGACAATTCCACAAATTCTGATGACTCTCAATCAAACAACTCAAGTCGATCTGCATCACCAGACAATGTTACTAGAGAACAATCTGTCAGCGGTTCGCCTTCAGCATCCAGTCATAATTCAGCCCCACAGAGCCCTGACAATAATTCGTCTGGATCTCAAAGCATAGATAATGGAGTGCAAAGTCCAGAACAGGACAATGATGATGAAGATGATGATGATCCTCAGTCACCTGATAGTTCATCATCTAAATCTAAAAGTCCTGTTGTTGAACCTTGTAGCCCTGAACATCAACAAAATGATGAGCCACAAAGTCCGAGTTCAGAATCTAGTTCATCAAGTCATGTATCTTCTACAGCTTGTTCTCCAGACAGAAATAGCCATTCTCGACCGTCATCCAAAGTTTCATCAAGAAGCAATGAATCCGATAAGGAAACAAAGGAACCTCACGATAATTATTTGTCGGATGTTTCTGATGAAGACTCAATGGATGATATAAATGATGATAATGCTTCCCAAGTAAAAAAATTATTTACACAATTTAATTAAAGTGGTAAATAGTATTATGTCTTTTTTTTTTTGACAGAAAAGTGATAATGACGCTCCTTCTCCTTCAAAAGAAATCATTATTCCAGTTAATGGTCATAACAATGTAGATGTTAAGACTGAGCCTAATGTTGTTAATGATCCTGAAGAACCTTTAGATTTTGAAGCTGAAGATGGTGAAGATGTTGAATGCGATGAGCCAAAGCCAGTTAAAGACGAGACTGAGGTTGAAGAAGAAAAAGAACCTGAGGAACTTGAAGAAGGTGAAGTTTCTGATGAAGGTGAACATCGGCCAGAAGAGACAGAACCTAGGCCGATATGTCGGTTTTACTCGAGAGGACAATGCACATGGGGTGCAAGCTGTCGGTGAGTAATAGCTAGTAAAATTGTTTTAATGTATAAATGAATTCATCAAAAATGGTTTTCTAGATTTTTGCACCCAGGCGTTGCGGATAAAGGCAATTATTCAATGTTTGAAATGGTACGTCCAGTACCACCACCTGGTGGCCTACCGTCATTTTATCCAAATGATTCTTATCGAACGCATGAAAGACCTCTGGTAAATATTGTTATTAGTTAATCTTTTTTAAACTATAATATCAACATAAGGGAGTTATATTGATTAGATTCCTGGAGGTCCGATCGCACCAATAAAAAAAGATGATATACCTCCTGTAGAAACTGCTTGGGAAAGAGGATTACGTCAAGCTAAAGAGGTTAAAAGCATATTTATATCTAATATAAAACAGTAAAATAATTCTTAATTAATTTTTTATAAATTTTTGTGTTACATATTAGATACTTAAAAAGTCTAATAAAAAGAAAGAAACTGATATAGATTTTGAAGAAAAAAAAATGAACTTAACATCAAATCAAGAAGAAGTAGAAAAAGAAAATGATTACTATGCGCAGCGTCCAACTAGTCCAACGGCTTCACCTGCACTAAGCCCTCCTATTGAAAGATTGTTAGTACACTAAAGGAAAAATGTGATTCAACAAGTTATTAGATTTTAATTTATTGTTTTTATAGTAAACCAGATTTAGAAGCTCGGCATCATAGAGGTCCTCTTCCAGATGCCTATGTGGATGAATTTATGCCACCACAAGTAGATTTTTACCATCACCGACCAGAATTTTGGCCTCCTCATCATGGTCGTCCTTTACCACATTTTCCTCCTGGACATCCAATAGATTTTCATGCCCCTCCACGAAGAAATCCATATTATCCTTATCCACCCCCTGAACCTTATTATCATCCAGGTTTGAAACCTCATCACCGAGGCTTGCCTCCTAAGTATCCCCCTAATAGAGAAGTTATTATGCAGCGTTCTGAAAAATCGTACAGGTATGATATTGAATTTTTAGATTTTTCATTAATTGCTATTTAAATTCAATATTATATTTATTAATTGTAGCCCACAACCTTCTGGTCATCGTAATAGGAGAGATAGGTCATCAAGTCGACCACGAAGAGGAGATGATTGGTCTGATCCATGGATGAGATCTAAATCACCTGGTGGTGGCCGACCTAAACTTAGAGGAAGAAAGAAGTCTTATTCTTCTCATTCTTCGTTCTCATCATCTAGGTACTAAATAATTTTATCTATTAAATTACATCTTAAATATCGGTTATGTTTACAGATCCAGTAGTAGTTCAAGCAACTCAAGTTATACCTCACGTAGTCATTCAAGAGGTAGATCTAACTCAATTACAAAAAATAGGAAGAAAGCACCTCCAATGTCATTTAAAACATCTCCTGGTCGTAAATCAAATAGAAAACCAGGTAATTATTACTTAGTTTATTCTGTAAAGAGGATTAAATTTGCTTAAATTCTGACGAATTAAAAATTTGTATTGAAATAGTGTCACTGGATCCCCTCTTTTATCAGCCTACATGCCTTGTACATAATATTCTAAAATTTACTTATTGTATCAATTGAAATAAAAAAATATATATACATAGTTAAAATCTGACTTAGTAGATATATACATCTTAAATACAGTATATACTCAGTGCTCGACTTGGGGGGGGACGCAGGGGAACGGAGTACCCTAACTAATTATTCAGAAATTTCAGCGTACCCCTACTTTTATTTTTAAGGGTAAAGCATGGGACGCTAAATCATGCCATCATTGCCATCATTCTAAATTTTTAATTTTTATCAAAATGTACGTGTTAAGTGATAACATATATAAATAAATAGTTTTTTTTTTTGTTTTTTTTTCAATTGTTCTTGAGTTTGTTATATTTGATTTTAAAAGTTAAAAATATAATATTTACATAATTTTTTTTTTTTAATTTAATGATTCATAAATATTTCCTATATGATTCAAAAAGGTGTATAAGGGGGTGTGGTGGCATAGCCCCCACGGCTTTGTAACGTTTGACAAGTGGTGGGGATGCTCTTTTTTTTAAAGTTAACAGAGTCTCCCTACTTTAATTTTGTCAAGTCGAGCACTGTATATACTGTTTATAAGACTCACATTGTAACCAGCACTAATTGAATCTTATAGGTTTAATGAGAAAAAACCAACAAACTTATAATAAATTACAT